ATACTCTTAGTGTAGTGGTTGTAGTAGATCTCTCATACTAGACCGCTACATGAGCAAGAAGCGTAAAGTTTATCGAAAAAGGAAAACAAAATTGCGAATAATAGGCCAGCCCGGTATACTGAATGGCCCCAGGGACAATGATCAAGACTGCATGATTTCTAATTTATCCCATCTCCGAATTGAAGAGGTCCGCCTGTGGACTATGTCCCTACATCGGGAGAGACCTTCTCTCGAACAAAAACAACACGGAATCAAGCACACTCCTAAATACCCTGACAGGAGAGAAGTTTCCATCCAGAAGAAAGGACGGTAGCTTACTTCCCAGTCTTAGAATGGTGAGCTTAATAGTCAGTGAGCGGCATGTTCGACTTACTAATCAATCATGTTGTCCGGTATCTTAAGAAGTTGTTCCGTCCTCTATTAAAGGAGGTTATTCAGGAAAGTGTTTTAATTAATTTTGTATAAAGTGGCATCGCTTGTGGTCCGTTCAGTGGTGAGAGGGTACACCAGCGTCGTTTTTATTACACTTAAGTATTACAAATAAAACAATATGCTGAAGGGGAATCCAAGGACCTTAAGTACGGAGACTGGCACAGTATGCTTTACTCTCAGGTCTCTAGTTCACATACTGCGTACTGCAAGAACTAAAATATATAAGGGTTTCCGTTGTATCACAGTCTGCTCGGTTTTAAACTAGCACCAGCCCTCAGCATAGATGCTGCACTTTCGCGCACTCTTCGGAAGACAACCGTAAAAGAAACGTGCAGCTCCTAATTTACGAAATGCTACTTCTTGCAGATAGGGCAAACTGGCTCTATGAAAAAGGTTAACCAATGCCGGAGAAGTGCATAAAAAATGTCAAAATTTACCCAATGGTTCTGTCGGGAGTGTTTTTACGACGGCTTCACCGACTCCGCCACCATGGCCATTCAGCTGCATGTTTTCAGTCTGGAAGTATATGGTGTACCATGTGTTCGGAATCAAATTACGCAACGTTGTTCCATTTGTCGTTGTCTCCGTCTTCACCAGCTCCTTTGTTAGCAATTTCCTAGCTGTAACGTGGTATGACTTTATTTCACCATGCGGTGGTTCAGGGGCCGTCCAAGAAACCGTGATTGAATCAGTGCCGATGTGATGGAATTTTATATCAGTGACCTGTTGACCGGCTGCAAGTTAGAAGGTTAGAGAGTTCATAGTACCAAGTATATCGATGGTAGCACAACAACGCGATGTATGCCTATGCAGCGAGAATCAATTGCTCACGCTCTGGTATCTTTCAAGCGAATCGAGCTGCACAACTATACATATCAATTGCTTATTACGTAAAACTGACATGTAATAAAGACTGTGTATGTGCTTGTGATTTTTGAAACATTAGATAAGTGTTTACTGCAAATCTTGACAAATTAAGCAGACGTTTTTGTCTTACTCCGAGATGATAAGTTTGATGTCTATTTGATGTCTAGTTCGTTAAATCAATTTCATGAAATATGCACAAAGTGGCAAAGCTTCTTGTCTGTTAAGCATGCTGACTGCATCAACAGCGTCAGTCATATCACGCTAGGATATTTCTCAATAAAAGAGCTTGCTCAGGGGAGAAACCAAGGACATTGAGCACTGGGCGGATCAAAGCATGCCTTCCTTTCAACGCCCTTCTTCGTACAAATGCGTCTGCAGGGTTATAAAATGGTATTTATTCCAGAAGACGCCAACTGGCTTCAAACAACATGTTAAACAATGCCGTACGAACGCATAAACACAAAATGCAAAAACTTTGCTCGGCGCGTGTTTCAAATTTGACCACCATCTTCGGCCTCCGAGGAAATAAGATTTCTTCGCAATTTAGGACTACATGACGCTCTTGCAGCCTGTTGATATTAAGCATGTACACCGCCTGCCCAATATCATCTCCCTCAGCCACCTTCAGGAGGACTTATCTACGTTCTGCAAAATATTGGACCCTTCGGATTCTCAAAATCGTCGCTTCTACTGATTACTAGACTTAGGAGTTTATTCCATCATCGAGCATTGCAGATTGAACTTCTACGAGGGCTGATTCAATCTGCTTTCATGGAAATTCGCTGTTTTATCGTTTCAAAGTACTCATCTTAGTTGAAGCATTTGGAATTCCAAGAGGAACTTAATTTTTTCAACCCGATGAACCTACTCAACTTTTGAAGTCCCTTTCTACCGAAAGAACCTTGTTCCAGTATATTTCCCTCAAATTTAAGGCAATATTCTTGATCGGGAAATCTATTTTTGCTGATTGCAAAACGTTTTCCAACAAGTTATGCTCGACTTCCGAAGACAGAAGGGACGCGCGACCGGTGCTTAAACAGAGTACCGCTCCTGCCACAACCGAACGCGCTAGCCCATACACCGTCAAAACACGCTCAAAGAAGCGATCGAAAAATGTCTTAAATTAAGCGCAAACTACACAATTAGAACAGTCGGTTTCCGTATGCCAATTGATGGTCCAGATTTTAGTCGCTAAATTTAACCGGGTCGAACTAGAAGTCCAAGAAATGAAAGAGTTTATCTACAGGTCTTGTCTTCCGGAGGAAACTAACGAAAGAGTAACCCGTAGTAGAATGAGGGGTGATGTGCCTAACATATCCCCAGAAAACAAAAAACTTGTGTCTAAGATACCCGTAAAAAGAAGTCCAGTTGCGCTCCCGAAAAGCCAAAGTCTAAGAGCAAGATGCGTCCGACTACCACACAAGATCATCTTGTCACGAAACGGAATCAGTCGGGCTCTTCCAATTAGGAAATGTCAGCTCAAAAGGTAGTCACAGCCCAAGTTGAGGAAACCTGCAGTTCGGTAGTGTCTAATCCATCTCAGCGTTTCCCGGATAAAGGCCCCGTTGACCGTGCACAGAGCGTAACTAGTCCGGATGTCCCAGCAGACATTCCCATTTTGCTAGGCCTGTCTGAGGATTCTGAGTTGTCGGAAAATAACCGAAAACCCGCAATCAATATAAACGTCCCTGACAAAGGCATCGGATT